GTCTTCAAGGCCCGAGTGAATAGGTCGCTTATGTAGACGTGCTCCATCGTAGACCGCATCATTGCTTACCACCAGGCGAGATAGTGGTCAAACGCCGATCGCTTAGACACAAGGACAGTATCGTCTTTAACAAAAAGTGCAGTCGGTGGCCCTTCCTCTGGGGACCCCGAAGGAACGACACACTCGCTACACGTTGCGCGGTATACCGGCTGCCGTGCAACGTATGGCGGATTCGATTCCTGCACGGAGCAAATCTTTGTGTGATTCACATTATGGTTTCGTGTCTGGGTGTCATGTGTATGTGAACTTGTATGTTTGTAAACGCACCCACAACACAGGAGAAAAACTTAGTGTGGGCTTTTTTTTAATGGGACAAGCCCGCCACAACCTCTCAAACCCGCTGCAACTCGTGTGCACCAGAATCTACAATAGATACAACCATGAAAACACCGGAACACTGAAGTCCGGCGCGTCCCAGGGACATGAATAACTGTCTTGGTTCCCGCAACGAAGTGAATCAGAAGATATTATAAGAAGAGAAGAAAAAAACGATAGTTTCCACTTCGCTCGGTGAATTATTGCAGAAGACAGAATGAATGCCTAAAGGCACAAAAAAGAGACTGTACAACTGGGTGAAGCCCAGTCGCCAACTTGTATCTTTGTAAACGCACCCACGACACAGGAGAAAATCCTATTATTAAGATTTTCCAATGATTCTTTTGTTACATACCGCGATACCGCTGTGTCTTTGTGTGCCCAAGTCTACTAAGACGGGCAAGACGGTCCTGTCTATGGATCCCCCGTCCTAAAAGGACGAAATAATACTTATTACGTATAAACATGTCATTAACAACGTAAAAAGTTCTGGAATTGCCGCTAATATTTCGCAATTGTTATTGAAACGTATTTGTTTTGTGTAGGCACAGATAAAACTAAAAGTGAATGACTTTCCAACAAGATAAATAAATAATAAATAATATAACGTAGATATTACTCATACATACAAAGTTATCTAACAAAACTATTTGTTAATAAAATACTATTTATTAATTAGCAAATTTCACGGATATCGCTGTAGATAAGCGAGCGGTTTTTAACTTGGTTTGGTAACGGATTTGGTTCTCGCATGAAACAAATTGTGATATGATCTTTTGAAGGTTATTGACGTCGTGGTGGCCCGGAGGTTTAAGACGCCTGCTTCTCATGCATGAGGGTGCGGGTTCGAAACCTACCAACGGCAGGTACCAATGTGACTTTTTCCGAGTTATATGTACTTTCTAAGATTATTCAGACACCACTAACAATCGGTTAAGGAAAACATCGTGAGGAAACCTGGGCTTATAATTTATAAGTTTGTAATCGCCAACTTGTATTGAGCAAGCGTGGTGATTAATGCTCAAACCTTCTCCGAATGAGAAGAGGCTTTGCTCAGCAGTGGGCAGTTATAGGCTGTTGATGATTAAGTCGGCTGTATGTTTTTTTTGTGTGTGTAGTTACCCGATTACTCCGACGTTTGAGGACGGATTTTGATGCTTATTTTTTTGTTGGAAAGGTCATAGGTACTCTCGGGGTGGTCCCATTTCAGCCAGGCACCGACTTCTTACCTATTTGTGGGTGGGTAACCTATAAGTACGTATGACTAATAATAGTTATATTTGGCTTTTTAGTTTTTACCTTTTGCTTGTTTTTAGGTTTTTTCAAGTAATAAGCCGGTAAACGAGCAGACGGATCACCTGATGGTAAGCAATCGGCATCGCCCGTGGATACACGCAACACCACAGGTGTTACAAAGTGCGTTACCGGCCTTTTGGGGATTAGGAATTTGAGGATTGTTAGCGTTTCAGGAATTAGGGAGGCTGGGGAGGGATGTGATTGGGACTCCGAATTAATCTGCCTATGGTGTCGGTGGGATGTCCATGATTTTGATATGATAATATGTAACTATATGAGGTAACTATCAGTAGTACTAAAATAACTATCATATATGATAATTCCCGCTATATTTATATCAAAATCACTTTATAGTTTCTCCAGTTATCAGCAGGAGAGACCCTAAAATAAACACTAGGTATTTTTTTTCAATCTTTGGCTATTATGATGACTACACTAAGGTACCTACGATTATTTTCCCGATTAACCACTCTAGCCCAGAGCATTGTCAGTTCTACGTCAATTTATGACGAAACTGTAGGTACTGCCGAGTCCGAGCGGTCTCCGGTCACCGCTCTCCACTTACATACGTATTACATACCATTATAGACCTTATTTCCGATGTTCATAGACTAATTTTGTATGAACAAATTTTGTGAAGATAAAATAAAAACAGTGAGAAAGTTTAAAAATTCAGACAACACCTAAACAATAATAAATAACGATATCCTAATCAGTTCAAGTTTATTAAACTTTCAAAACGTAAACATTAATTATAATTTATCTTTCTACTTACTTCATCATTACTCAATATTACAATTATACGAAAGTTCGTCTACAATAACGTAACATCACGCTATTTAATCCCAGAGGAGACAGAGGTGTGCATACTTAAACAATGTAATAGGGGGTGACTCTTTTTACCAACTTCAAAAAAAGGAGGAGGTACTATGTTCGGCTGATTGTTTATTCGCCGATTATTCCGCCATTTGTGAACCGATTTCCAAAATTATTGTTTTGTTTGAAAGGGTATACTCCCGAGATGGTCGCATTTCCATGAGGTTAGGATCTGATGATGGAATCCTATCCTATCCTACATATATATGACACGGTGGAACACACTGTAGCGGAACGCCCTGCGTGGGCTGAGCGCCGCCGTGCCCTCAGGGAAGTGATCGGCGATGGCGACCTCTCGCGTCCGGGCCTAGTGCAGGCCATGATGCGGAGCGAGGGGGACTAGGATGCCGTCTCCTCCTTTTGCGAAGCAGTCATGCTAGCTAAGGAGGAGGCGGGACGCGTGAGGCAGCGAAGCGCTGCCTCCTCGCAACCCAGCCATCGCGAAGGACACACCGGGCGTCGGGGATTGCGGTACGATCTCCGGCCACCGTAAGCGCGGGCCTGCGGACGGCGAGCATGGGTGGCTCCCCGTCCGACTAGAAACAGACCCGAGCGTACGGCGCGTCGCGTTCCGCGCGCCCCTCAAAGAGCCATCAGACCACCACAGATACCCAACAGGGCCGATGCCGATTCGGAGTCGCGAAGAACCTAACGGGTAACCGGGGCTCCGGCTCGAAGTGCAGAAGCAGGAACGGGGTGGTTTTTAGTCAGTAAAAGTCTGACACTCCCTTCTGCCTTACCCAGGCGGGAGAAGTCGTTCGATGATTTTCCCCCCTTAAAAAAATTCTATATTATTATATACTTATATATTTTTTTTTCTTTTCGACACAATTTCAGTGTGCTAATCACAGGACATGATCTGTGATCGTAATAGTGCGATTGAAATATTATGAAATTTCGGTACGAAATCATCCAATGAGATATATCAAAGCAGAGGTACCTAATAGTTTGCTCGGCCCAGGAATCGTCTGCCCCTCGGCATCCGTGTTTGTAGCTTCTCGAGCAACGAGACAGTCCCGTTTATAGGTACAAATTAATGAATATTAAGTCATCATTAATTGTCACTCTTTCAGGCAAAAATTACATAACTAATTTACTTTAGTTAGTCTCAATTAGACTAATGATCTAATGCGGGAAATCATTTAGAACGCGAGCATACATTTTTTTTTCGGTTTTTCGACAATTTTCGAGTAGAGTAAATCGGCAAAAGTGTTCTGGGTCAGGTTTACAGGCAGGGAAGAAACACCGCGTGGTTTTAGCCGTAAAGAGAACGAACTACCCTTGAAATCCTGGGGTGGAAGTCTCGACAATGATAACGATAGATATGGATCGTTAAGTCAGAAGTCCCATTGACAGGTATACACATTTTATCGCAATACTATTATGGTCTAACTCTGAACATGTATTCAACAGTGAAATAATGAAATGAAATGATATTTATATTTCCAAATCTTTAAATTACTAGATGAGGGCCGGCATTTCCTAACTGGCTACTCTGAGAAGAAAACAAAAATGTTTTTTTTTTCATAAATCGTGGGGACGACTGTGCCGTGCCGGACTCTAACCGGCTAAAACCACCGCAGTGTTCAAAAGTGTCGCGGAGAACCTAACGGGTAACCGGGGCTCCGGCTCGACGTGCAGGAGAAGGAACGGGGTGGTTTTTAGTCAGTAAGAGTCTGACACTCCCTTCCGCCTCACCCAGGCGGGAGCAGTCATTCGATGATTTTCCCCGCTTAAAAAAAAAAAAGTGTTCAGAAGTCCCAGGTGGGACGCCGTTGCGGATTTACCGAACTAAAAGAAAACGAAAATGACTCTTAAGTCATACCTGTGCAATAGAGTGTACCTACAGTAGAAAAACGAATTAAAAAAATATCAAAACAATAAAACTTATAATCTTATACATAACGAAACCCGGGGCTAGCTTATACGTCTTTCTATGCACTCCCAAATTAAATTTTATTATTATTTTAAGGGGGGAAAATCATCGAATGACTTCTCCCGCCTAGGTGAGGCGAGACGGAGTGTCAGACTCTTACTGACTAAAAACCACCCTGATCCTACTCCTGCACTTCGAGCCGTAACCTCGGCAACCTTTTCCGTTTTCCACGACTCCGTACTCCCGACTAAGTATAGGTATTTAGATACCTTACTAATTAAATTGTTACACAAAATTACAAGTAAGAAGATTGATTAGATAGATAAAGCGTAAAAAGATGACAAAACAATCTTACTTTCGCATTTATACATGCTACTCAGCTCCTATGCGTCGCACCGTGATATTTTATAGCCTACAGACTCCCGTGATAAATGAACAATCCAACACATAAATAATTTTTAGAATTCAAACTTTTACTTAACACGAATACTTAGGTATAATATTATTTAATATTGTCATGCTTACTTATTGTGATTATGATTTATAAATAACTTAATATTGTATAAAATTAACTCACGGCTCCGCAGCAGGCGAGCAACAAGATAAAACTGACGCGAAACATGTTGCTTCTGGTAATGATTCGCCGGTTCGCGAGTTTTTCATTTATATTAGCGGCCTGCGTTATTTTTTTTCGACAACAAACTTAGCTTCCGTTGCATCAAAACATTCGGGTATGCAGTGACATATTTGGCAGAATGGAGTGTGGTATTTTGCTTTGGTTACTTTTTTTAGTTAATGGTTTTCTTTTTTAACTGACTTCAAATAAATACAGGTGTTCAGTTTGATCCATATGTAAGTATCTATGTATGTGTGTGCGCGATTAGCTGAACCAATTTTATTGCACTTAAGAGAAGGTTTTAGTATATAAATAGTTAATATACTAAACCCGACTTAAACAAAGAGCGGGTTGAAGTCGGTTTTTAAACGTATGTAGTTCATAAAATAACCATTTACTTAAGTAATATTTTATCGATGTATATTGGCTTGACGTTTTTCTTATTTTATTTAAAGCATTATAATACAAGACGTCCACTGCTTTCCACAGTCCTCCTCTATTGACAACACAGCGATTGGTTCGAAGCGACCTGTAAGAAGCGGCTACCACCAACCTTTAAAAGATCCTGTGCACCTTATCGAAAGGGATGAGATCCAGGTGGTTGGATCCTGGTCATAAAAATTTTTTTGTCAGATCTTTTTAATTCAATATTACTTCCATATAACACAATTGGTTAGATATGTTACGTTGAACATCTAGAAAATGTAATGTCAATGTTATGTTATATCGTTCATCACCCGACCTGGAGATGAAAGGTCAGACGGTAGTGATTTAAGCTGGAAACAATTGTTATCTCTAATCAAACGGTGAGTGACTTGTCATTATAAACTCTACGGAATTTAGAAAACAACTTTCTGATAAACTGGCATTGTATTTATCATACTATTGCTTCTGTTTCCGCGAGCAAGAGGCCTGGGTAACGATAACCATCATCGCCATAATTTGTTTTTTATATATTTTATAGGCCAACGTTTGACCTCTCTCGTCTCTCGCCTGTTGGTGAGCGATGATGCGGTCTACGATGGTGCACGTCGTCCCTTAAGCAACTTATTTTTTATACCCTTTAGGGAATACAGACTCTGGCAAAGAATTCCACTCCTTAGCAGTACGCATAAGGAAGCTTGATGCTTGATGCGAAGCGCTTCGTGCGTGTGGACGGAACATCTACCATGAATCGGTGACGCTTCGCTGATTGTCTTGTGATACGATGATGGAAAGGACTAGGGTGGTCGTCATTAGCCGGAATAATTATGTCCACTTCTTATCAAACGTCTGTCTCTTAACAGTGGTGTGATTACCGGTTTGGTTGGGGATCACAGATAAGGTCTTCAAAGTTTTAGAAGACACTGTGCAACCTTTGAAGGATAGATCCTTCAAATGCTGGTTGTAATTTGACGACATAGCTTGTGTACTATACTTATAACTGTAGTGTATCCATTACAGAATTAGCTTCGAAAATACCTAGTATGTGAGTTTAGACTCTATTGTAGTATTCTAGTCCCCAAAATAATATTGAAATACTGAATTTTTACCCAAGTCAGCCAGGTAAGTACTTTGGAGCCGCGAAAGGCTTAACGGATTACCGGGGCTCCATTTCGAAGCAGGAGTAGAAGCGAGGTAGTATTTAGTCAGTAAGAGTCCGACACTAACTCTCGCCTCACCTAAGGCGCGAAAAGTCATTGGCTGCATTTACTCATTTGAATAAACCAGGAAAAGTAAATTCACTAGGTATTTATTTTTTGTACCTAAAAGTTATTCCTCAATAACTGCAAGCCATAATTTTCTTACAATCAGCACGAGGTAAAAGAAGAAATATGTATATAAACAAGAAACATCATTTACACCGCTTAATGACTGCTTCAAGTTCAAGGATATAAATCAATAAATCTTACTACTTACTTAACATAACAGCACATTTTTAACTCCCCAAAGGAATAGGCAGAGGTATATGTTCAAACATCATCACCAGTTATTTTATACAGCTCACCAGTAATAGTAGCTTATTGCCATAAACGGGCACAATTCCAGACCAGATGCAAACTATTAGGTAAACTATAGAGAATATTTTAGAATATCGAAGAAACCCCTAGAACACTTTACCCACCCCGAGGATCCAACACAAGTATGAAGGCATCTTTCTTGACAATAAAGGAAGCCATACACGCTAGGTTTTGCATGATGATTTTAGCCGTGCATGCATAACCGACAGGCAAGCCCTAGCGTGTATGTGATTAAACTGTACAATTATCGGTGCATCGGTGCTTATGTTTGTCGGTTTTGTATGCACAGTTATAGCCATCATGCAAACCCTAGCGTGTATGGTCTCCTTAACACTTCGGACAACTCGACCAATGGCCAAAATCCCTTTGCACACATACATATGTATGACATAACGTAACGTAAAAGTGTTGACAGAAAACTTTTTTATTTTGTTCCCTAAAACAGGATTGGTAATGAAACGACCCGTAATATTGTAAAAGTAGACCAATTATAGCAGTTTTTTATGTAAAAACACACTTCTTTATCTTTTTTAACTCTTTTGTTGGAAGAAAACAGCGACGCTAAGGGATGATGGCATAGTACACATCAAGAAAACCAGTATAAACTGACCTTCGAATGTGCGGAAAGACCATACAAACCAAGACCATGATAAACTGGAACAGAACAGAATAATCGACTCCAATGTCAATTTTTGTTATTAAATTTTCAACTGTATATTAAAGTAATAAAGTTGAGAATCTACTTTGATAGAAAGGTTAGGTTGAGCTGCTACCTTTCTACGAGTTTTTCGACATGATCTTTGCTATTAAAAATTTTGTTTATATTTTTCGTACCTCTTTGTCGGTTCGTCTTCCGTTTATATTTAAATAAGGATGGGTTGTGGCTCGGAATACTCTTAAAGGTATGCTTTAAAATTATGTGTGCTCTATGCATGAAAATGCGATTTTTAGAATTTCACCTTTTCTGTCTTAGATGGTAGCATCGACAAAGATAACGACAGAAATCGGTCGTTAAGTCATAAATACATTATAGGTTGAAAATATCGGATTTAGTTAGGTACGTTTTCGTCTTTTATATAGACTTACTCATTGTCTAAGTTAGTAATTAAATTTAGCACAATATGACATTAGGGTATTCTTTTAGTGTAGCCGTAGTAAATAAATAAAATAAGTTATTATTTAGTTTCATGGAATTGTATGTATATTAAATTTTCACACAACACATACAACACATTTATACATATCTGTGTGTGTGGGAATCGAACCATACGATAAGGTAGGTACAGCAGCTTGTCGTCGCATCACCCATCTACTGCGCCATGCAAACGTTACTTGATGATGACAAAGATCGACAAAATAAAACAATTTCTTGAATTAAATACACTTTATTATGTATAAAAAATCTGAATTATTAAATACTTGGAATTATCAATAAATGGCTTGGCATTTCTGATAGCTTGGGTTAACTGAGCTCAAGATCAATGAATAATAAATACTTGAAGAAGACATATGCATTCTCCTTCGGAAGTTGGTTTAAAACAGAATGTGATGTATTACATGAAATATAGGTAACGTAATGTTTCTGGTAAATTCTGATGCCCAGATGGACCATGATGATTAACATATCGCATAAATAAATTAAAACTCATCAGGTAAAATATAACAAAAAAAAAATAAACAAAATAAAAAAAAAACAATTCACTCAACGAACATTACACAAAAATGCTCAGCCATTTACCAAAGTTTTGAACAGCGCCATCTATTTTTTAGTTATCGCACTACTATCTTCTAAAGAGACTACATTCTTGTCGATTTCGCCCGAACTAAACCTGTTAAAGTGTTTTCTTTTATCGTCTTTAGAATGGTGTTTTTTGTGTGAATGTGACCCTTTACCCCTTCTTTTCTTGTGCGAGTGCTTCTTTTTCTTCTTTTCTGTATCTTCTAAGTTGTCTGAGACGACTGCGATATGTACTGGGACTTTGGACTTGTGATTTTCTACCGGTGCCATATAGGTCGGCGGAGGTTCCTAATAAATAAACAGGCTATTATCATAAATTATGCTATCAGTTCTATAAGTACGTTGGTTATGGTTATTGTTTAATGTTAGTATATATTTAAACGATTGTTATTTACCCAACTTCCCGTTGACATAATAAAATCAGAATAATTTACTAGCGATTGTGAGCTGGAAGTCTCGACAATCGATTTGGCCATCAATTCTATCGTTACGAATGTCGAGACTTTCCCAGCCCCTTTTAAAATTAGTTTATGAGGGGAATCTCAAAGTTGCCAATGCAGAAAATATATTTTAATAAGTTGATTAATTTTAACAATAAAGAAATTAATTTTATTATTTATGTACAAAGTTATTGTATATAGAAATAACTGTTAGCTATTTACCAGAGCCTTTAAAGACACGTGGGGAATCAGTTGACTTTTAACAATAGGTATGATTAAGAAAATTAAACCTAAAATTAGAAAAACTCATCAATTACCTTAGGTTGGGCACTTCTCCTTAAGACACTGTTGCTAGCATCGCTGAAATATCCGGTCAGATTAGTGTCTCCGATAATTAATGGCGGTTCAGCGGTACTATCTGAAGCGCTATGCAGATATTTGCTACCTCGATTGCTAAGCACCGAGAACCTTTAAAAGAAATTATTTTTATGCGTACACTTGCTGTTTAGAGCCTTTATTGCGAGCAATTAATTATTTCACATAACAATATATGAGGGCTTATTCTTGAATCCAATTCCGATCGATCGTCATTGGTATTGTGAAATTTCGTACTCTTAAGTTGTAACACTAGCGCCTATTGCATCCATATTGCGTGGATATTTAATGAACTAAATGGTATTGAGTTTGGCTTTTTATTCCGTACTTTGAATGCTATTTTAGTAGCTACCACAGGGGTTTTATAGCTTTGAGATTGAATAATTATTAAGATTTTATTGAATTGAAATTACATTGACATTGAAATTGGTTTCAAGAGTAAGCACCCATTTGCTGTAGATTGTCAAACCTGCGTAAATTGTAAGACTCTTGCAATCTACGCAGGTTTGACAAAAGACCGCTTCTTAAATGAAACGCTCGCTATTCGTCGTAAAATGACGGCCCAATGAGAATTCGTTTCCGGATCATGATCCATTTTGTGAATACTTTTTAGCTTCTGGTTTTTTCCAAACTCAGTCAGTTTGCAATACATATCTTGAACTTTTGCCTATAGGGATTAATTCAACGGTGCGACGGAATGCAAATATACTAGTTTTATTAGAATCTTTATTGACAAAAAGAACCCTATTATGCAGTTGAGTCAAGATCTTGTTAAGTCATTTGGGTTATTTTGTATGTTATCTTTTATATTTCGTATACAAATATCCTTGTCTGAAAGTTATAGTCACATAGGTTTATTAAAAAGAGATGCAATTCTTTATTTTGTACGATTGCCTTGCCACCACCAACAGCGGTTGTACAACTATTACCTTCTGTAGTTGTCACCATCTGCGTTGGGTCGTTTCGGATCCTTATGAAGTCTATGTGCTTCTTCCAGCTCAGCTGATATTCTGAATAAATAGGTTTTAAAAAGAACATAGATTTTACACTCCAAAATTAGTTTATAAAAGTCGGGAGTCTCGACATTGATAACGACAAAATTTGCTCATTATACCGTGAGTTTCATAAATAGATTCTCAAACATATATTGTTGAAGATCTGTGAATTGAATTACTGAGTTTACTTAAGTAACGGTTTTCTTATCAATTGTCGAGACTCCCAACTTTGAAGACAAATCAGAAAATATTTTGAATCCCTTTTAATTAAGAACGTTAGCAAAAACGGAGTTAGATCAAAAGACTCTTTTGAAAGTTAAGAATATTCATAAGAAATAAAAAACAACTATAAAAAGAGACATCAAAGTTTTTAGAGGATCAAGTAAGAATTAGTTAAGACTTTAAGTTAAATTCTCCCCGAAATTAAACCATGAAAATTCAGTTAGGCATTCGACATGGAATAATCTCACCTTTTTTCAGCGCTACTTTCAACTCCCGGTTTCACTTGATGGACTTTCTCACTCATTTTTTGAACAACACTCTCAATATCTCTCATTCTTGTGCCTATTGCATCTACTAACGCTTGCAAATTAGTTGGTTTCTCCTCATTAGCACTCATTAGAGCATTAATTCCTTGTACTTTCGGTTCTGGCATATCTTGAGGTTGAGTATCCTGCGCTTGATATATTTGTGGTTCCTGCAAGAGATCTATCTATAATGCGAAAGGATCGTTATTTGATTACTTGAAAATCTGACAACTTGTCTAACAAAGAATCACCTGTATTCTACTAATATTACAAATGCAAAAGATTTTATGTTCATTTCTTTGTTACTCAAGTCAACATGGCTGAAGGGATCGGGATGAAATTTAAAAAACAGAGGTAGATTATATTCTGGAATAACATATAGGTGACTTTCTAATCCACGGGAATGCGGGTAAGTTGCTGACAGGAGTAAGAGTTGGGTTATAAAATAGAAATGACAGTCAATATCAATTCTTGACAGAGTACTTCTAGACTATAGGACTTCTTTACATAAATGGTCTGCCACAATCACTTCGATCAGTGAGCTAAGCCGGTATATAACTGTAATTCAAAAGGCTCAAGGGTATCAGGTACCTCTGTTGCGCAGCCTCTATCAAATCTATAAGCCCTTAGTCAGCTCTTACGACAAAAGGTAGGCCTGGGAACAAATGCATTCTAAACTGCCCTTGCCAGAATTTAAAAACAATAATGAAAGATGTGTAACACTCACGCTAACTCGATTTTCTAATTCCAATCCTTCATGCGGATCATTCCACTGGTTCTGAGGGATCTCAGTCCAAGACACTGGATTTTGACTACCCTGGAAAGAAACATTATTTTTTAAATCAACTGGCGAACTTTCTTCGTCACCAATTAACAGGCCGTAAGAGTCCACTGCTGGACTACATGCCTTCTCCAAAAGAGAAGGGTTTACTATAGTCTCAACGCTTGGTAGGCGGGGTTATGCCAGAAAGCTACCGCTAAATCCCTTAATCAGCTCTTATGACGCATGCAGGAAGGACAGGCGTGGTGATAAATATATTCGATCCTGCTTTCACTATAACACGGCCGAAAATGAACAAAAAGTAAAAATTATTCAAAAGTAATATACGCACATATTTAGACGATGTTTTCTGCGAATCTGCATAATTATTGGCGAAGAATTTTTCCGCGGACATTTCAGGAGGCTGCAAATATTTTGAAGATATCATAAATCATGCGCAATAGACTATTCGAGAGGAAGGCAGAGACCGGTCGAGACCCGGACCATTCTACCTACCTCTACGATTGGCAGGCATGAGAATAGTAATATTTTACGTACCTAAAAATAAAAGAAATCATCTATTGTATTGTAAGAATACTTACCCACTTTTAATGTTAATATTAAGGGATAAAGACGGTGATAATGAATTTGATATATGTATGTAGTAAATAACAGAACGTACCGTAATGTTACACCTTTTAATTTCTTTCTTTAAGATAGAACTGAGTATCAAGTGAGGGTTTCAAGTTTCGTCTCTCGTTTAACCTAACATTCTACAATTCCTACTTATAACGTCAAAACTGAAACTTACTTTATCAGTAGACGTAGGAATTTCCTCAACCTCCTGTATCTCAGGCTCTATGCGTTTCTCTCTCTCCTTGTTCTCTCTTTGCTCCTCCTCAAAGTACTGAGCTGGAGTCGACGGGGTAGTCTTACGAGCTCGCTTGTGTCTGGAGTTTTCATGTTTAGATTGAGAACGCCTGTAATCCTCGAAATGAGAGATGGTAGTGTACTATTGTCGTACACAGAATAACTTAACTAATTGGATCAACACGCCTGTGTCAGTGGTGAAGGAAATCTAAGAATTCATATCATCATTGTATCTAATACGACAGTTAAATATACATCCATAAGGAAATAGTATCAAGTTCTCTGCCTGCTCATTTGCTGTTTATTCAAAGAGTACTTATAATAAGTATAGGGGTGTTTATTTCACAAAGTTCTTATACTATTTTTGACACAGACGTGATGATAGTAATAGATATAAGGTACAAACTCACCTAGAGTTTTCATATTTCTTTTGCAAAGGTTCCTTCATTTCGTTATTTGTTGATAATGCGATCTGTAATATTGAGAAAATTGATATTTTGTAACCACATTATAAAGTGAATTTAAAGTTTTACCAAATTAAACGTTATAATTATGGAACAATTCGTATTTAGTTCTCTATTTTCGTCTAGCATTTTAATATTCCTATAACCCCATCTCTGAGATCCGAACCTAGAATAGCATTGATAATTATTATAAAGCTGATTTATTAACGTGCCGTCGTATAACTGAACACTAATAAAGTCGCTTTATATTTTATTCGTTGGGATAGAGTTAAATTAAGTGCCGTGCTATTGGAGAGCTTTATATCGAGTATAGTGGATGGAAACGAGCTGCCATGATAATAATCCATCAGGATTTTTGTCGACCAATCAGTGCGCCTGTGGACTTCTGAGTGGTTCCCATCACAGTAAGATTACCACAATGTCTGGGGGCGGCGGAGCGGCCCTGGGCTCTATTTCATTGCAGTCAGGGTCAGTAACGGGCTTCTTGCCTGATCGTAGCACCTTATCATGACCGCCGGTGTCTTCGTTTTCCGTCAGCTCGTAGACTGGACCTTGTTCGTTCGTCCTGGAATAGTTGAAAGAATAGTCAGATCAGATTTACCAGAAGAAACCAAAAGGAACAGGCACATTAAATGGGCCATGCAGCGTTTGGCCAATTCTCCTAGTGGTAAACAATAATGTGGCCGACGCTGACGATGGGTTAAAAGCAACCTATTTACTCGGAAATAGTATTAAATTGGGTACAGCCCAAAGGGCCCTTCAAGCTGTACCCAATTTGTACTTAACTGACGAAATATATGTGAAGTGTCAGGCACTATTACATTTTTTGTTACTCAATGTAAGCGGACTTATCTAAATGTTGTCTTTTAATGAAATATTTCTCGTATTTGATTTTACTGATTCGGATTCGACTTAGTTATAGCATGGAGTATACTGATCAATGTGCCACATATATGACAATAGGCTTATCCCCGTTTTGAGACTAATTACATAAATTTAAAATGTTTAGAGAAAATTAAGTCTATTTTTAACTAAGCGACCGATTTTTGTCGTAATCAATGTCGAAGCTACTGGCTGAATAGCTAAAGGAGTAGTTTTTAATGTACTTTTTTTCATTTATTTCTTCTAGTCAGAATTCTATATATTCAATGATCCTTTACCGCTCTGCGCTTAGAATTATTATTGAGGCCTGGCTGTACAATTTCTGTCTACCTTCGCATTAGTCTAGCTGACAGACAATTTGATGTACTTTCCATTTAATACTCGCCAAAATAATGTAACTGAAATCCCAATTGACTATGATGAAACAGGGTCTTAAACTAAAAGGATAGGTTAATGATAAATAAAAATTCAAAATAAATTTACAACAATTTTTATTTAACATAACCATTCCATTTCTCTTACAAAATATATACAATATTAAAACTAAATAACCTATGCGGGGGACCTTTTAATGCTTGTAACTTCCTGAATGCCATAGTTTATAAATAGGTAACCAACAAAAAACCAAAACGGCCAAAGTTTGGCCCTATCTATACATTTTTATTGACTGGTCAATATCTACACTAATTGGACTACTGACTACCCACTATTGCCCAAGAAAAAGTCATTAGAAGAGGCCAATGTCCAGCATATGACTGTTATGATGTTGAAGACGGAGATGGCAAAAGGTATATCCCAGTTAATCAGACTAGTGGCATGCAGAAAGCTAAAACACTTACTTGGGTAGGAAAGTGGAGTCAGCTGGCGGTGGTTTCTTCATCTTGTACATGTGACTCCACGGTGCTGCTGGAAGAACTTCCCAAGGTTGGCCCAGCACCCTCGTCCATACTTCTCCGCGAACGACCACCAAGCATCTGGAGATATGATGTTCAGAGTGTCAGAAATCGTGCTTGGTTTTATGAGAGCTTTTGGTCATTAACACTTGAACTGCCCAATAGCATTTTAAAAAATTAGATTATTTGTAGTATAATTATATAATATTGTGTAAAGTTATTAGTCTACAAAAAGTCTTCATCAAGTTCAGAGTTCTCTCACCTGAGACGCGTGCAGCAGAAGGGGAACTGCATGTTGGTATCTTCAACGACTTCTTCGCATTCTATCGCCGACTCGGGGGCTTCGACTCGCTTACATCTGAACAAGAAACATACATATTTGATTAAGGCTTTTACTTTCTAGCTTGGCTGTCTGAGGCTAATGTGCTTTGTAACTACTTAATTTATTGTACCCTGGCTTCTAGTAACTAAAAAATGCTGGCTTCTAGTGGTTAAAACGAATCGAAAAATACTAAAAAATAATGAGAATCCGGCTACCTACCTAGATGCATCAAGATGGATGTACAACTGTTCAGGATATAATAAAATGTGGGATCTAATCTTTAACCTTATCTTAAATAAATAAGTGATCATCATCGGAATGATGCACACTTACCCAATTACCGGAGGCCCAATTACCCTCTCCTTCCCCAATCTCCCCAATTCCTGAATCCCCAACGATCCTCAAACTCCGAATCCTCAAAAGGCCGGTAACGCACTTGTAACGCCTCTTCTGGTGTTCCAGGTATCCATGGGTGACGCCGATTGCTTACCATCAGGTGATTCATCTACTCGTTTACCGGCTTATGTCATAAAAAAAACTTACCCGACTGTATAGATGGCGAGGTTCCGTCCTCCTGGTTGGCATCTATGCCTGGTGCACGAGTATGCATCTGCCCACTCGGTATACGCTGCATGCTTCCTCATCGTTCTGGGGTCCGTACAGTCTGTGGATAAGGAAATCAGCTTTTCAAATTTCATATTCTAAAGTCATTCTGTAGGGACAAGTCCGCCACAACCTCCCAAAACCGCTGCAACTCCTGTAAGCCAGGATCTACAGTAGATACAACCATGAAAACACCGGAACACTGTCGTCCGGCGCGTCCCAGGGACATGAGTAACTGTCTTGGTTCCCGCAACGAAGTGAATCAGAAGATATTATAAGAGAAGAAGAAAAAACTATGGTTAGGGACTAGGGTAGGGAAGTGGATTCCCTCGGTAAATTACTGCAGGAGACAGAATGAATTAAGCCTAAAGGCACAAATAAGAGACGGTACAACTGGGTGAAGCCCAGTCGCCAAGCACCACGGAAATTTGACTAAAAACTAAGTGGATCCTATGTGTTAACTGTTATACTTGCTTCCAATAATAGGTATGGCAAAAACGCCTAAACGCACGGAAATTCGTTCTAGATTCCACAAGGTCCGTATAATAAGCTACACCTGACGAAACAATTAAATTATTTAACATAATGTTACGTTCATATTGCCAGAGATCACACTCCCAGACCCAGAGTATGTGATGTGCCGACTGCTCGTATTGCAATTCCTCTGTCGAACATTGGCAACATGGTGAATCAATAAGTTTAAATGAGAACAATTTGCTTTTAAAGTTGCCGTGGTCAGACCAACAACCGTCCAACCATGTCCTCTCCAGCCGCTCATGCACGGATGGGAAGAACTGATATAGGTGGCGGCCCTTAATAGAAGATGCCCATCTACACTGCCATTCGGTTATAAGCTCGCCCCAAACGTCCGTTATTGGCTTAAACAATCTGGCAAATTTTATTTCTATCACGTTGTGCTAGAAAGCTTGCTGACAAATTAGACCTCGCACTGTAGTACATAGCAGCACGTCGCTGCACCTCAAGATCTACCGGAAGTACGCCCGCGAGCACAGGTAGGGCCTCAGTGCTAACCGTCCTATAAGCCTTACACAGGAAAATCAAGGCTAGACGCTGGCCTTGAAAAGCATTCGCCGTACCGCGCCTATTGTGGCCCTATTAGCCCAGACAGGTGCCCCGTAGCACATGCATCCCAGGTAGGTTGCTCCGTATATGATCCTAAGCGTAAGAAAAGAGAGACCCCATTCTAAAGTCAGTCAAAATGGAATAGTTTATCCATAAAGCTAGAATGGTAACGGCAAAAAGGAATCTCATCACTGCACCACCTTAGCATACACAAATCACATACAGACTGGAAACAGTTGATTGTGGATCACTTATTTTTTTCCGTGCGAGAATTGAACCTTCAATCTGTTCCGCAACGAATCACTCCAACCGTGTTTTCTTAAATTAAATATAAAAGGTTTTCGTTGGAGGTGCAAGTTGAGTTGATTGCCTCGTTGGCCGAATGGTCGTAAGTATGACTGCCGGTAAGGGGTCTCGGGTTCGATTCCCGAGCGAAGTATTACATGGTTTCTGCACGGTAACACGGAGTCTGGAATTATGCCCGTTATATGGCAATAGGCTCACCCCCTATTACATGGGACTCATAACTTAAATAGTCAAAAGTGGGGGTTACCTACATTATACAGTCAAGTGCACCACTGCCCACCCCTTCAAGAATAAAAGGCATGATGCTATGTTATGTTTTAAGTTGCAAATCTTTAATTACTACATTAATTAAAACTTATCATTGTCTACGAATTACAAGGCAGGTAAACAGATCTACACTTTCTTTAATTAAAAAGTATAAATATACACGTGTAATGCATCACGAGATGTTTGAAAGAACACGTGAGGGAGTATTGTTTGAAAACATTGCAATCCTGCTTGAACAGCGCACGACCAAAACAACAAGCGTTTCGCACTCATAAGTTTTTTGTTTGTTCGTGTACTAGAAAATTGTATGCATTTGCTGGCGGCGCTGATTGTTATTTTTTTATTTTATCCAAGGTATATTTAATTTGTTTTTTGCCTGCCAGTAAAAGAAGTTCACAACTAAACTCTAAAAATTAAACGAAATATTGAATTTATTTATGTCTATCTATTTATGTCCGCAATTTACCCACGTTTATAAATAGAGCTTCCCAGACCCAAAAAAGTAAAAGATTGAATATGTAAATGAATTCAAAACTTAGCGACCGAATTTTGTCGTTATCATTGTCGAGACTTTTAATCCTTTATTGGTGTTCTCTTTTTTCAAAATTATTGATTTTTTTGTTTAATATTACGATTGAACTTGCGAGCTATACCCAACATATTAATGAGTAATACAAAGAGATATCTACAATTTGAACTCTGGTCGTTGTGTTCTGCATTAGGTCTCCCGGCTTGACCAGAACCACGGTCTGTAAACAAGCAGATACAACGAGATCATTTTCTTAAATACCCCTTTAGAAACTAACTGACTGGTAGCTACTTCTATTTAATTTATGTGTAAAAGCCTTTGACTTAGTTTCCCATAATTTGTTACTCGAAAAACTTGAATTAGTTGGCATTAGGGGTCCTACACTTCAGTGGATAGCCTCATATCTTAGTAACAGACTACAACGTGTCATCATTGATAGAATAGACGACAGTCAGAATAAGGTGCCTTTTTCTTCAGAATACAAGCACAATAAATATGGTGTACCACAGGGAAGTGTACTGGGCCCTATCCTGTTCTTATTGTATATAAATGACATTATTAATATAACCAATCACCATTGTATATTGTTCGCTGATGACATTAGTATTATTATAACAACAGAAAAATGTAATAATGGTATAAATAATCACGAGAATGAAATTAATAACACTATAGGAAAATTAATACAATGGCTCGACACTAATAATCTTAAAATAAATCTTAATAAATCCGTATATATCAACTTTAATAAATGTAATAATTCAAAATACAATATTAAACTTAACATATCCAAAATTAAAGAAGTGGTACAGACAAAGTTTTTAGGCGTAATAATAGATGAGAATATAAACTGGAAAGAGCATGTAGATCATGTTTCAAAGAGAATAAATAAATTTGTATATGCTCTCAAACAAGTAAAAAATGTAACCAACTTAAAAACAGCCATTATGACCTATCGTGCATACGTGGAATCGCTACTGCGCTATGGACTTATAATATGGGGAAATAGCACAGATATGCACCGAGCTTTTGTTGCTCAAAAAAAATGCATTAGAGCAATGTTCGGGATGCAACCGGAGGACTCGTGTCAACCCATATTTAAAAAACTAAATTTGTTACCATTGCCATCCCTCTATATTTATGAAATATGCATGTTCGTTAATAAACATAAAACTTTGTTTAAATCAGTCAATGATGTTAATCCTAGGAACCGGCGTGACCCACATAGACTAGTTCTAGATGATACTGCCAGGCTTAATAAGTATAGTAAAAGCTGCTTATGTAATTGTGTTCGTATATATAATAAGATACCGAGTGATTTAAAAAAATTAAATTTTAGATTATTTAAGAATAAACTGTTTGCTTGGTTGAATACGAATAATTTCTATTGTCTTAAAGAATTTATGGACAGAAAAATTTAATACTACATATTTTATAAGTGAAAGATTTGCATGCTAAGTACAATTTTGGCAAAACATGTAAGCTCTTTATAATAATTATTGTAACACCATTTATACCATGTTTTATGCAAATAAAGAATTATTATTATTATTATTATTATTAAATATTGTATTACAAATGGGTTTAGTTTATTTTAAACAAATTGAGCAATTTATTGTTAATGCTAATAATATAACTAAACGTTGCATACATGCCATTTTATAAACCTGCAACACTTATATAGTTTACTGTCACTTTTTGGCGCGAAATACGTAAATAAAATAATGAAAATTATCTTACATTGGTCTTTGTAGGATTCCTTGTCGACTGCAGGAGTAGCGTTCACGGCGGCTAGGAGCCCCAAAATTAATAAAATCATCTTAAATAGTAGCTCATTGACTGTGCACCAAACGCGATGTTTTCAAATGATTCCCGATTTGTAACTGCAGCTATTGTGAAGCAGTACAGTTGAGAAGAAATTGAAAAACGAAAAAATAGTAAAAGTTCATTCGTTTTACACTTTTTCTGTTCCGTTATGAATTGGATATATGTTCAGTTTTTTAAAATGCGTAGGTTAACGGTACCTTCTCTCTTATGTGTTCTTTTACCTTCACTTTTATTTGGTCGTCGTTGACGTGATAAATCGTGGATCATTCAAAAACTGATTTCTTTTTTAATCGAGGCTCATTCATTTATTTACTTGTATGTATATACAATGTTTGAGACTTTACTAAAACGCTCAGAAGGATTATGATCATATATTAAAACTATCAGATATTAAAACTCAGACTTATCCAAAAGTTATTTGTATTCATTAGTTTTACAAAAATTTATCTGTCGCTGTCAAAAACAAAGACCGCGCGAATGCCCGACTGAGATAGTGTTGCCACGTTCGGAAACTAAATCACACGATATTACCACATACCATTATTTTATACTGTGATATTAAATTGTGTGTTCGAAATACATAGCGAGCGATAAAATATGTGACTGTTAAGTACACTAGGTAGGTATTGAAATTAATTATGTTTAATGGCTAACAGCTGTAATGATTACACTAATCGATGCTAATCCGAAATCTCCAAATCCATATCTCAGTTATTGACGGTTGCAAAGAGTATATATATAGGGGAAGTTACCCGGGTAACCGTTTACTACGACTAGTTTTAAGCCACGGTACGGTACGGCCCATATTCCTGAGCAGCATTGCATGACGTAGAATGCTACGTACATTTACAGTCCTGAAGGTTAATAATTAGCAAAGTCTAAATCTCGACCGCCCTGGATTTGTACTTAGTCTCCTCAAGATAATTAAAAACCAAGTGAAAATACATCGATGCTATCTGTTACATAAAACAAGGGTAAAGGGAAACGTTTTTGATTTTGTTATGTTTATTATACATCTACCGACCCGCCTCGGCGTCGCACGGGTCCAATATGCATGATTATACGTATAAAGCTTTCTCTTGAATCACTCTATCTATTAAAAAAAACGCATCAAAATCCGTTTCGTAGTTTCAAAGATTTAAGCATACAAAGGGACATAGGGACAGAGAAAGCGACTTTATTTATACTATTTACTGATGTAGGTATATCATGTTCCTTACAAACTTTGTAAGTACTGAAAAATCTCAAATGATAAAAAAGTGGCTTTACACATTTCTTGACGATTGTACACCGCTATCAGCAACAATGAGATTGTTTGGTATTTACGAACACAACATGACTGTATCCGGTCCTTATATTTCTTAAAGTTCAAAAAACATCGATCACTGGGTTAAGATTAAGATGCTGGAAAAAACTAACAAAATTAAATCAGTTGAAAATTTGTTGATGATTGTGACTAGCGTTGTATTGCCGGCAGAGGAAAACTGTCAAAATATTACTAATACTATAATACTTAAGTTTGTGTGAATATTTGTTGCTGAATCACGTCGAAAACAGTTGAAGGGGATGGGGATGAAATTTGGAACAGGGTAGATTAGTAGATTTTCTCCATTCGAATCTACTTTTTGGAATGAGCACCTAGCTTCACCTAGTTTCACTGACGGACTGATTGACAGACTATTATTTATTTTGTATTTGTTGACGTTTCAAAAGCACCAAACTATGGTTTAATTGAAATAAATGCTTTGACTTTGACTTTGATTGTGGTCTGGAATAACAGAGTGCTTTTTATTCAACGGGTACGCGGGCGAAGTCCCTGGCAGAAGCTAGTCTTGATTACTTTCCAGCCTTTGAAATAATGGCATGATCCAACCTTTATAAGCTTTTTCATCTGTTTTTTCAGTTGTTTCATCAGAACTTCGGACTGCCAAGCTAGAGATCTCGTATTAAAATTCCGAGTCAGCGTTAAATATTCCGGTTTGTCGTTTTCTAAGAAAAAAGCTGTGCTAGCTTTGAGAGTTGTAGGCTACCTCATACGACATATGAATCGTAACACCAACAGTTAGATACTGGAAGTTTCATAGTACATCATAGCAGACTACCAACTGATGTTAATATATGAAAATAAAACTACAATAAATTCAACTTCTTAATTTAATGTCTATACAAATAACAGAAATGCAGCATTTAATACATAATTATCATACAACATATTATAATGTCATTTTAATATCTTTAACAAACATAACATGAGCAAACACTCCCTTTCTGATATCAAATAACAGAGGGACAACGTTTCTGTCCCACCAGATAGCGCCAATGTAGCGTAAGGTCTTGTTTGCCTAATCAGCTTAGCTGTGGCAAGTTGACTGCTTGATAACTTACACAAAAGTAATAGTTAGTAGACTATAAAGTACTTTATCCAACTAAGACAGTTATTCAAGTCCCTGGGACGCGCCGGACTTCAGTGTTCCGGTGTTTTCATGGTTGTATCTACTGTGGATCCTGGCTTACAGGGTAGCAGCGTTTTAGCGGGCTTGTCACAAAAAAAATAATAATAGACTATAAACTACACCAGCGCCTCTGGCGGCGCAAAAATCCTCATTAGTTGAAAAGAACTTTAAAAATTATATAAAATTAAGGGCAGTAGAGTTACTATTACAAACAATTATGTTTTTATGTAAAATTTTGAGTGTAATATATTATACTAGACTAATATACCTAGGATATCATTATACAATACGCCAAGCCAAGATCGATGAAAAATATCTGTAAAAAATTATCTACTTTCTATGCATCTAATCTTTTGCTATCCCTCAGAGCTGTCAGTAGAGTGAAAAAGAGGGCGATTAGGATATATGACTATATTTATTTTAATGTCCGTCTTGTAGATTATTTTAAAACATTAGACAAGTATTTTTTATTTTCTTACGGACACAAATACTTTCAATAATATATTGATTTGAAATATCGCCTGACGTCACTTCTAAGTACATTTTATACTTAGAAATGACGTAGCTAGCTCCTTCTTAAACGATTTATCTAAGTATTTTTTGACAAAATTAAACATAACGTGTCTAATATTTTTCCATTACTTAACTGTCGGACCAAATAGTTTTTATACCCTTTCATCATCCCATATAGAGATATAGTTCTACTGTTATAATTTGATTACAAAAATTTCACATCGATCTTGTCAAAACCGTTTAAGTTATTATTTTTTATGCAAAGAGCCTCTGATAGATATATTTATAAATGTATGAGGCACCTCAGACAGTCAAGCTCGCTATCATCAGTTGACTGGACAATCTCTACACTACATGAGCTGCTTGACATGTGAACATTAGCTCAAGACGATACTAGGGCGACTGAAAAGTTCAGACTGAGACAGTCAGGTTGACACTGAAAAGTTAATATCTTTTTAATAATTTCGGCACAAAATTATTCAGTCGTCCTAGTACCTTGGGAGCTAAGAAAGGTGAATGTTACAAATACCTCTCAGCACATACACGGGTGATGTTTTTATATGTATTTTATAAATAATTTGTTAAATACTAATATGTATTAGTTACTGAATATTCTCAATGACCAGCTTATCTGTTCTGTATAAGTCTCCGACGATGACCTGTAAATTAGAACAATAATCTGTTAGTTATTGCAAGTACCAATGTGACTTTTTCCAAGTTATACATACTTTCTAAGATTATTTAGTCACCACTGACAAACGGTGAAGGAAAACAATGTGAGGAAACCTGGACTTATCATTTGTATTGAGCAAGCGTGGTGAATAATGCTCAAACCTTGTACGTGTGAGAAGAGGCTTTGATCAGCAGTAGGCATTTATATGCTGTTGATGTGTGTCAATTTGTTGGTCAGTAAAGCTAAGCTGTTTTTTTTTATTTATTTTTTTAAAAAACGTTGTCCCACACTTGGATTTTCTCCTGTGTCGTGGGTGCGTTTACAAACATACAAGTTCACATATTATGACATCCAGAACCGAAACAACCATTTGTGGATCACACAAAGTGTGGGAATCGAACCCGCGACACTGCACGGCAGCCAGTCGCCCAGCCACCGCAACAACCGTGCAGTCAAACTATTGCTTTATATAAAAAATGGATTACTACCTTTTAACATTAGATTCAAAATGTTCATATTAGATAATTAAGTAAATGACAATTTGTCAATGACAGAAATGATTGCTTCGTGTGGGAATTGTACTCGTGATACATTATGCAGCACACAATCGTCCAGGGAGTTACAATATCATTATTTAATTACCTGTCTTTTGATAACACTAAGGTTTTCGGTAGCAAACTCAAATTGTTGGTTTATTTGTTTCAAATCTGTAATGGCCTTGTTTTCTTTGAAGCCATCTCTTATTCTCCTCAAAGCATAGGATCTGGAAAATATAAGACATTTTATTTTAATATAATATTGCCTTTATTTAATTTCTTGAGTCCCAGAGCCAATTCTTACTCAGCTAAAAGTATTATTTATTTGTTTGGAAAATTCCAGAGCATTGATCTAGACACAATATGTTTACTATTATGTCTTATATACTGGTACAAAAGGTTAAATGAAACGATAAATGATATAATTATGTATGTTACTTTGTGTGCTGAATAAGCAAGGGCACCCCGAGTCAACAGGCAGAGGAGGTTGTTGAGACAAGTTGGTTGAGTTGAGAGTTGTTTTAACAAGTAAGATTCGTTGCTTTCCACGAGAATTTATTTATAGCGATACAAAAAAATATTTTATATTCACTGCTAAATACTGAGTCACATTGCATTGCACCTAGAAACCAGTTTTATAGGTTTAAATGTTAAAACATATGAACCAATAAACAGAAAGATTACTACAAAAAGAGTTTGATAACATTATCAATGTAAACAAAATGATATCACATCATTGTTCAAGACAAGTGTTAAAGTTATAAAGACATTTTAAAATAAGGATTACGTAATATTTTTAAGTTAAATTCCACTGCAA